GCCCGCCCCCAGCCCCTGGTCCCTGCAGATGGCGGTGGTGCTCCGAGGAGGATGCGGAGCCCTTCCCCGCCTCTCCCCCCGCCCCGGTCGGGTTGTGTTGTGCTGGGGGCCCGCAGGGCGTGTGAGAGCCGAGCCGGGCCGGGCCAACATTGCCCCGGTCCCGGTCCCGGTCCCGGTCCCGGTCCCGGTCCCGGTCCAGCCGCGATGTGAGCGCACCCGCACCATGGCCCGGCAGAGAGGGACGGAGGGGGGGGCTGGTGGCAAAGGGGTGTGGCGGGGTGGGGGGGTGTGAAAGCCTGCAAAAGGGTGAAAGAGAGGGTAGAGAGTGTGCTTGAGGCAGCGGGGGGGGACATGAGCGTGTGAAAGGGGGGTGGAAGGGGAAAGGGGGTGCGTGGGAAGGAGGAGAGCGTGCAAAAGAGCGTGCAAAAGGGGGAGAGCGGGGGTGTGGGGCAGTGGGAAGGTGCGTGGGGCTGTGGGATGGGTGCTGGGGAGGGAAGGGGGTGCAAGGGACAAGGTGTGGGTGTCAGGGCTGGGGGGGTCAGAGCAGGGATGGGGTGCTCGGGTGCCCCCCCGAACACGGTGGGGTGCCAGTGCACGGTGCCGTGGCAGGGTATGGGATGCCAGGGCTTCTGCCAGCACCCTCCCTGGGGTAATTTGGGGGTGCAGCGGCTCGGGGGGGAAACGCCTCCGCCCTCGAGCCGTGGCCCAGAGCCTCCCCACAGTGACGGGTCACACTGCGGCCAGGAGCAGCCTCCAGCCTCCTGCTCTGAGTCATCCCATGCTGGGCGAGAGCCACCCCGAGCTCCGGAGTGGGGCCCTGGGCTGACCCCAAGCCCCTGCTCCCCCTTGCACCCCATGGGGGTCCAGGGCTGAGCCCGGGCACCTCTTCCCCATCGTTACATGGAGAAAAATGCACACGGCCACGGGGCAGAGGTGCCAGCCCCGAATCCCCTGGGTGCTGGCATCACCGGGGATCCTGCGCTCCCATGGCATCCCTTGGGCAGCCCTCTCCTTCCTCCTCCTCCTCCTCTGAGGATGAGGATGCCATCGGGCTGGCCCACGTCCCATGGGAGCAGGGCACTTTGCTAGGAGACGGTTGTGTGTTTGGGGGGCGTTTTCCTCCCGCCCTGGAGACCGAGGCAGCTGTTTTTCATCTCAGCTCCTTTCCCTTGGCCCAGGCAGCAGGCAGCTGGCGTGGCCTCATGGGTGAAGGCAACCCCTGCCTGCTCCGAACCGGGCTGCGGGCACGGCCAGGCACCGGCGGGCACGGTTCTCCTGTCCCACCGAGGGCATCGAGGGCCGGCCGGGGCGGGGGGAACACAGGGGCAGGGTGCAGGGAGGGCTGAGAGGGGGTGAGTGGACGGAGATGTCATTGCCGAGGAATTTGGCCTGGGTGGAGGAGAGGAGAAAGGGAGGGAGAGGAAGAGCCAGGCACACCGGGCATGAGGGACAGTCCCCATCCCCCCCACCATGCTCCCAGTCTGCCCGCAGGACCATTCGGCCAGCCCCTGCCCCAGCCCCCCCCGCTGGTCCCCCCAGGGAGTTGGTCCCCCCTTTCCCTTCCCCAGTTTCCAGGGAAATCCAGATGTTTGGGCCCAGCTCCGGCATTGCTCAGCCTCGCTGCCCTGCCAGATGTTTCCTCTCCCCCCTTCCCCGGGCAGGGGTGTGTGCTCCCCGGCTGGGGACACTGGGGAGGGGGACGGTGCTCCCCCCTGTGCCAACACCTCCGCAGAGCCTTCTCCCGTGTCCCCTGTAACACACATGGGACCGTGGGCTCCTTCCCCCTGCCTGCCCTTGCCTCCCCCAGAGGCTGCCGCTGTCTTTGGGGATGCGTTGCATCCCTGCCAGCCCGGAGCAATGCGGGATGCAGGGATATGGCAGGGCATGAGGATGCTGGGGTCACCCGGGGCTTTGCGGAGAGTCGCCAGGGCAGCATTCCCAGCTGGCTGTGGCTTCGCTGGGGTTGTCCCTCTTCCAGTTGGGAAATGGCAGGGGGATGGCGAGGAGAGAGGCTGGGAGCAGAGCGGGGCGGCGTGGGGGGAGCCGGCACAGCCAGGCTCCGTGCCAGGAGGCAGTGGGTTTCGACAGCGGGTCTGCGACATTTTATCCCAGCTGGGAGCAGGGAGCAGAGCCCGGAGCGACCAGAGCGGAGTGATGCAAACCACTTCCAGATGCATAGCAGCAAGGAGCCAGGGGAAGGCAGGCAGGGACC